TCTCCCCGGGGGGCAGCCGCCCGCGGGTGGGGGTCGCCGAGTCCAGCCACAGTGCAGTGAGCCGGAACTTGGTGGGCAGCTGGGGGCTGGCACTTTGCACACTGAGCAGAGACTGGGCCTCTCAGAAAGTCCTGCTGTGTCTTAAAGAAGCTCCCCCCCCACCCACACTGAGAGCTGGGGAAACCTCCTTTGCACCCCTTACCTTCTAGACTGTCCAGTAGGCTCTTCCTAAAGTCCTGAACTTTTGCTATAAGGTACTTTGTGTCTGTAAGCTGGGAACCCTTTTCTTACCCATCTCTTCTCTTTCAGGATACAGGTGTAGGGAAATCGAGTATCGTGTGGCGCTTCGTGGAAGACAGTTTTGATCCAAACATCAACCCAACCATAGGGTAAGAGATTAAGTTTGTTGAATATACACCCCAAGGTGCCCTGAAAGTGAACCAGGAGAGTGTCGCCGGCCTGGCTGCTCCATCCCCACACTGGTGGATTCCTAGAGGCTGGTCCCCAGTGAGTCTGGAAAGACTTAAGGCCCAGGGAGGCTCGGCCGGTGGTTGTGTTTTCGGCGGGTCATTGTGTTTTGGGAAAGTCAGCTTTTAATTTGCAAGGAGCACAAATTCAAACTGAAACTAGAATTAAAGTCGTATTTTACTATGAGAACATACCCAGACCCTTCAATCTGTAAATAACAACAGCTATTACACCTGGAAGTAAGACCAAAGAACACATCCTAATGACACCCTCTGGGCCCCAGCAGCTGAACAGCTGCGTAGATGGTGTGGGTCTTCATGAAGTCTTGGAATGCCATGGCGCATCCTCGCTGGTGGTGATAATGGGTTCCTTAATGTTGAAGTGGAGGCCTTTTTCCAGCTGTTCCCTTGGATAAGTGAAATTGCCTACAAGTTTTTGACTCAGTGAGTAAACTTTTCAGGACATTAGTCTCATAACTCTGATACTTTCCTGTGAGAAATTAGTTTTATAGGCTTCATGCTATGTTACACTTGTAAAACTAAATAGCCGCTGTGCTGTTTTTATTGCAAACCTCCAAGCAAATGGTTTCTTCCAGTTAAAAAAATGTCGGTTCTGCTCAGCACAGAAGTATTTTGCAACATGCACATACGCATTTGAAAGTGCAGAGATAAGCCATAAGCCGCCCTTCCTCTTTGAAATTCACGTGTCTCTCACTGTCCTGCAGGCTTTCACTGTCCTGCAGGCGAGAGCTAGGTATGCCCACATGTTGGAGGAGTGACCTCATCGCAGGGCCTGCCTGTCCCACCTCTGGGAAAGTGAAGAGACAGGAAGAGATAGCTGGCGTGCCGGTGACTCAGCGAGTGACACACTTCACCCTGACTCAGCCCACGCCGAGCGCTTCGGTCCAAGTGCTGTCTCAGAACAGGGGAGAGGAAGTGGCGGGCCAGCCCTGAGGCCCACCGGCTGCCAGGTCCTGCCCTCCTCAGCCTGCTCTGCCACTAGTGGTCTTGGCTCTCCTGTCACAGGCAGGCTACACGACTTCCGCTCCCGTCTTCGCTGTACTTGTTTCTTTTTCTACCTCAACAAGTCTTTCTTTGTGAATGGCCCCCACCCCCACCGTTGGGCCCCAGCCCTGCCTTCTCGTCACAGCGCGCATGCTCCAGTGTGCCCACCCCACTGCGACAGCGCCCGTGCCAGCCTTGGCAGTCTTGGAACTCTGGAGAGAGAACTTAGCGCTTCCTCATCTGCCGCGCTCTCTGCCCCACGGGCGTCTCAGTTCCACGCTCCCCGTCCCCCAGAGCCACCGCCCCAGGAACCGACTCCACCTGAGTGCTGCCAGGGCGGCTTCTCCCCGGAAGCCATTATTCTCCCACTGAGTGCATGCTGGGGACTAGAGAGGACTGGGCATTTAGACCAAGGGTCAGCTGACTGTGAGTCTCTGGCCCCCTCCTTGTTGTAAATAAAGTTTTATTGCAACACAGTCCTTACTGTCTCAGCTGCTTTCGGCTGCAATGACCGTGTTGAATAGCTCCAAGGCCCGAGAAGCCACAAAGCCATTTTGGCCCTTTTCAGAAAAAGGTTGCTACCCTCAAGGACCTTACCTACAAGGAGAAGAGCTGGCTCTGTCGTTGGTGTCCAGAATGTGCCTATTTGGCGGTTTCCTATGCCCAGAGAGAGCTGCGGAGTGGCATGAGCATGGGGGCTGCCAGGCCTAGGGAATGACTGATTCCCGGATTCAGTGATGTGAGGAAGCACTTGGCGGCCTTGGCACTTAAATATTGAGAGTGAGTTGTACTTCAGTGAGAAGTTTAATAAAAAGTAAGTTTTTAAGGAGTAGAGGTGTGGGGGGCCTCGCATGGGGACCTGGGGAGCGGCACGGCGGTGGGGGTGGCCAGGGGCTGGGCAGGTGCACTGGAGGAGCCGTCAGAGGCTGGAGTGTCTGGGGGGCAGAGAGTGTCTCGGGGGGCGAGAGCTGTGCTGCCTGCTGTCCTCTCCTGGCCCCCCATTTCACCCACGTGTCTTCACCAGGCCGTGTCCTCCCTCCATGCACTGTCTTCCCGCCTGCAGCCCAACTGCACGTGTGGACAGCACACTTGAGGCCAGGCCCAGATGTCCTTCGACTGTGATTTAGGCTTCCTGCCTGGAAGCACGTGTGTCTCACCTCGCCTCCCGTACTCAGGGGGTACCCCGCTCCGCTCTGGCATGGCTGGCAGTTAGCTCATCAGTCACGGCCGTGAGAGCTGAGCAAAGCGCGGCTGGGCGCTGCTCGTCTCCCGCCCGCGGAGCCCGGCGCGCCAGTGAGCTGGGCCCGGACAGGCCAGGCCGCTGGCCGCCTGAGTCACGCGGAACAGGCGCCCACCCTCTCCCGCCGCGGCGCCCTGCGCAGGGCACTGCTCCCGGTGGGGCTGCTGGAGGGCACCTGCCCTGCCCCGGGGCGCGCGTCAGTGTATCTGGCAGCGACGCCTGCTTCCGAGAGAAAGGGCTGTGTCCAACGGGGGCCCTGGCGGAGGGCCTGCCGGCCACCTCGTGGCTCGCAGCCGTGGCTGGCGGTGGACTCGGAGGTCAGCCTGTAGAAAGCGCTGGTTTCACCATCCCGCTCGGGCAAGGGCTGTCACCGGCGTGCTTCACGGCCGTCCCCTGTTCTCGGTGCTGAGACCCTGGCGAGCCTGTCACTCCCTGCAGGGGTCTTCTGTGAGCGCTTGCTCACTTGCTGACGCCCATCTGGTCAGTTTTTTCTTTGGGGTTCGTGCTTTTTGCCACTTGTTTAAGAAACCTTGACTGGGGTCATGGCACACTTTGCCGTTGCCTTACAGAAACGGTTTTGCTTCAGATGTAGACTGGATGGACCTGGAAGTCGTTTCTGGGGGGGTGCGACTCGGGGCTTCGGTTGTGGGGTTTTGGGCTTTGTTTTTCCTATTCCTAGGAAGCTCACCCAGTCCTGGCCCCAGTAAGCCCATCCCTGGCCCTGCTCGGCCTGCAGCATCGTCCTCCATGGCTTCTGCGGTCGGGCGCCTTCTCGGCGGCCGCGCCCCTGTGCCCGGCTGGTCAGCGCTGGGGAGGCAGCCCCCGCCGGGCGCCCTCCGCGCGCAGGTCCCCGTGGTTGGGGTGGGCATTTGCTCCCGTCCGTTTGCTCGTGTTTTAAAGCGGCGTCAGGCTGGCTTCTGCCGGGTGGGTGTGTGAACACCTGAGCTGTTCATTTGTCTTTTTCGCCTTGAAGTAGAGAGCTCTGAGAGCTGCCGCTAAATAGCCCGCCAGTGTTGTGTTCCCGGGGGGGAGGCCGGGGGTCATCTCGCCTCGTCCAAGGTCGGGCCCAGCTGCGAGCGCCGGCCGGGCAGTGTGCCGCTGTGCCCGCAGCAGCGGCCTCGGCCCGTGCCGTCACGGCCTCCCCGCGTGAGCCGGGCAGTTTCTCTCCCACTCGGGAGACTTGCGGAGAAGCGGCCTCCTCCTTCCTGAAGGCTTGGTGAGGCTCCCATGCGAAGCCGTCCGAGCGGGGAGTGCTCACCAGACAGCCACAGAGCGGGCAGGTGAGGAGCCCGGGTGTGGTCACTGTCCCCTGCGAGGCCTGGTGCTGTCCTTCAGGGACGGGCCGCGGTGGCCGGTAGCCGTGGCTCGGGGTGACGTCTTGCGCTCCTCCGCAGCCCTGCTGTGGCTTGGGTCGTCCGGCTGTCGGGGTGCTTTGAATGGTTTCTAGAGGTCCAGGTTTCTTCAGATCTCATTACGATCTTGTTTTCTATTTCTGTGATTTTTGTGTTTATCTTCAGCGTTTCTCTTTGCTCAGTTCTTTTCTTTTTAGCTTTTTAAGTGAAAGTTTTGTATATTACTCATTTTATTGATTTTCCAGAAATTTTTTCCCTTTCCAGTTTAAGTCCCGCCGTGTCCGGGAACATAGGCCCTGTCATGCGAAGCCTCCGGGACCTGGCATTTTAACTCTTAGGGTGCGGTCTTTGTGCGTCCCCCCTGGCTCGTCCCCACGGCGGTCGCAGCACCAGCAAGCCCCCGGTGCGCGTGGCTCTCGGGCCGACCCTGGGGCCTCGGCAGCTTTTTGGTGTCGACTTTGCTCGTGTGAACGTGGATTCTGTCTTCTCAGTGCTCTGCGGTGTAGCCCAAGTCTTCGATTAGATTTTTTGGGAGTCTGGTGTGTGAATGCAGTTTTATCTCCTTGTGTGCTGAGAGGTGCTGCGTGGAAGGGCCGTCACTGCCGTCCTTCAGCCTCTATCCCCGCTTCCTGGGGTCGCGTAGGCCCTCTGCGACGGGGCTGGCAGGCGGTGAGACCGCGCTCTCCCGAGCGGCGAGGTCCCCCGTCGTTTCCTTGCCAGTCGGCTTGGTACATGCCCGTCACGCTCCAGAATGGCCTTCCTGTCAGTGTTTACTGGGATTTCCACATCACCAAGTATCAGATTTTCAGATTTGCCTGCATCTTGTGGATAGGTCTCATCATTATTGCCCTTCTCGTTCCTGAAGTGGCAGATGACACTGTCGGAACAAATCAGCTTAGGTTGTGGTAGGTTATTCTTTTAATCTATCACTGACTTCGGCTTACTGTTACCTGCAGGGTTTTGTGCATGTTTGTGAGACTGTCCGTAACACTCTCAGTTAGGTACACGTCCAGGTTCGTGTCCAGTCAGTGCCTCAGACAGCTCGCCGCGAGGTGCTCCTGCGCGTGACCCAGCACGAAAGTGCTCTGGTTTAGTCCTGAAGCGAGTGGCAGAACCCATCAATGCTCACATCTGCCCCCACGTTAAGAGTTTGAGGGGTCATTCTCTTCCATAGTCGTGAGATTATTCGTGGCAGGGTTTTCTGTTTCTTCCCGTCTTGCTGGGATCGGCTGGGGCTGTGTGTACTCAAGAGGGCTGTGCTGCTGTCCTGCACACCTCCTAGCCGCCTGGCGCGGCCCAGCTGGCCCTCAGCGTCCCTTCCGCGT